GGGTATAGACTCTGTTTCTTTCAAGGCTCGGAGAGTCAAGACATATTTGCTGAAGGAAAGAGCTCTGCCTGCCACCAACAGAAGCCACTGAAGCAGTCCTGTGCAACCTCCTGTCGCCGGCCTTCTCTTCTGCCAGGACATGCATGGAGCGCTGCACAGTACTGGACCCTTTACTGTTTTCTTTCCTGTGCATACAAATGTGCAATAAAGTTTAACTTCTAAGTTAGGCACAGTAAGAAATTAATAACAACTAATAAAATAGAAAAAATGTGCTATTCTAAGAGGAGCATGAATATGATCTGAAAATATTGTATGTAAGACATGCTTGTCACGCTAACTGAAGCCGTGGAAACTGAATCCTTGGATGGGAGAGACTAGTCTCTTGGGGTTTTGGACAGGGGATAACTATTTAGCACCTAGTGATGACATTCTGGGGTAGCTTGTGCAGCCACAGGAAGATTTCTGCTTTCTCTCACTCCTTCTCAACTTTCCCAAGAAGCACTTAGCTACTAGTGTGCAAATTTTATCCCCACCTGATACACCCTCATTCTCACTCTCTCCAAGGCATATCTTGGCTCCAATGTGCTTTGAAAAGTCTTCTGAGGGAAAGAATGGGGTGATGGGTAGAACAAGAACTCTACTTTGTGGGGGTTGAAATTTCCACAATGGAAGATACAAAGTAAAAATTTTGCTTATGGTCATTAGTTTTTTTTTCCTTCTCCTGTCTATATTCACATTTCTTTCTTCCCAACGGTGTGGTGGTCAAAAGCCATTCAGCATTTCATTGCACTCCTTAACATTCTTTAACACTCTTTAACATTCCTTTAGCACCCTTTCTCCAGTATTGGGAAAGTAACAAGTGCCAAGTATCCGTGCTCATTAGTTATGTTATAAATACTTGAAAATCTTAATAGAATTGCAACCAGGGCCTCAGTCTATACAGCTACCCCTGGTTCCAAGTTAATGTGTTTTCCTTAAACTATATGAAAATATAGAAACTTTTACAGTAGCTCACGCTCAATACTTCTCCCCCCACTCCCCACACTGGTACATGGTCTTGAACTCAGAGCCTGAGTGAGGTCTCTTAGCGTTTTTTTTTTTTGTTGTTCAAGGCTAGTACCTTACCACTTGAGCCACACCTCCACTTTTGCCTGCTAGTTGGTTAGTTGGAAATAAGACTTTCACGGACTTTTCTGCCCATGCTGACTTCAAAACCATGCTCCTCAGAACTCAGCCTTGTGAGTAGGATAACAAGTGTGCTCCACTGGAGCCCAGCTCCATCCACTTGTTTATTTATTTTTGGGTCGGTCATGGGGCTTGAATTCCTGTCCCTGAACTCTTCAGCTTGAGGCGAGCGCTCTACCACTTGAGCCATGGCGCCACTTCTGGTTTTCTGGTGGTTAATTGGAGATAGGAGTCTCAGGGACTTCCCTGCCTGCCCGGGCTGGCTTTGAACCGTGAACCTCAGATCTCAGCCTCCTGAGTAGCTAGGATTATGGGCGTGAGCCACCGGCACCCAGCTCAGTTCAATCCACTTCTTAAACCGAGTAGTTTTAGATTCACACATAGTTGTAAGAAATGACGCAGGGAAGTCATATATACCCTTCACTTGCCACTTCCAGTGCTACAACCTTTGTGTGTACGTGGTGTCGGGGGTAGAAGCTGGTTCCTCCACCGTGCTTGGCAAGGGCTCTATTAGAACTTTATTTCCAGACCCAATGGGAACACTCAGTAGCACAACATCACAAACTGGACGTCCAAGTTCGTAAAACTCACCCACCAAGATTAAACCGGATTCCTCCACTATCACATGGATTCATTTGTGTATTTAGAACAAAGCTGACAGCACAGAATGAACTCTGAATTCAATTGGCTGATGCAGCCCCAACACACACACACACACACACACACACACACACACACACACACACACACACACACCAAAAAGCGAGTGCTGAATCTCTTCCTTGAACTCTGAAGAAAGTCAGTCCAGAGAGGAGATCTCGAATCCAGCGTCACAATGGCAAAGACCAAAGACACCTCCAACTCTCTTGGCTCCCTGCTTTCTGTCTTGGTCCTTCACACTAAGACCCCAACACCGTCGCTTTCTAAAAGTTCTTGCACGGAGCTGCTGTAGCGAAGCCTGCACAAAGAATGATGGAAAAGTGTCTGGCCAAGAATGCAAATAGCTTCTCCCAAAGCCGTTATTTCCAAGGCAGGTTGGACCCGTGGAACGGCTTTGCAGAAACCTACACAAGCAACGCCAAGAAAAGTGTGCAAGAATGCAAATCCCTACAACAGCCATCATTTCCAAGGCAGAGTGGAGTTTTATGCAAATCGAAAAGGAGCCATCCTACCCACCTTGGCTCATTCGTTCCAGACGCCACTTGGCATTCTGTGCGGAAGACGTACGGGGGACAGGCATGAAGAACTCGAGGTTCGAGTCCAGGAGGGAATGGAAAGGTTTCCTAAGAAGTGCCAACAGAAAGACTGAGCAAAACACTTGTGCGTGTGTGCATTTGAGCAAAACACTTGTTCGTGTGTGCATTTGAGCAAAACACTTGTGCATTTGAGCAAAACACTTGTGCGTGTGTGCATTTGAGCAAAACACTTGTGCATTGGAGCAAAACACTTGTGCGTGTGTGCATTTGAGCAAAACACTTGTGCATTTGAGCAAAACACTTGTGCGTGTGTGCATTTGAGCAAAACACTTGTGCATTTGAGCAAAACACTTGTGCGTGTGTGCATTTGAGCAAAACACTTGTGCGTGTGTGCATTTGAGCAAAACACTTGTGCGTGTGTGCATTTGAGCAAAACACTTGTGCATTTGAGCAAAACACTTGTGCATTTGAGCAAAACACTTGTGCGTGTGTGCATTGGAGCAAAACACTTGTGCATTTGAGCAAAACACTTGTGCGTGTGTGCATTTGAGCAATACACTTGTGCGTGTGTGCATTGGAGCAAAACACTTGTGCATTGGAGCAAAACACTTGTGCGTGTGTGCATTTGAGCAAAACACTTGTGCATTTGAGCAAAACACTTGTGCGTGTGTGCATTTGAGCAAAACACTTGTGCATTTGAGCAAAACACTTGTGCATGTGTGGATTTGAGCAAAACACTTGTGCATTTGAGCAAAACACTTGTGCGTGTGTGCATTGGAGCAAAACACTTGTGCGTGTGTGCATTTGAGCAAAACACTTGTGCGTGTGTGGATTTGCGCAAAACACTTGTGCGTGTGTGCATTTGAGCAAAACACTTGTGCATTTGAGCAAAACACTTGTGCGTGTGTGCATTTGAGCAAAACACTTGTGCGTGTGTGGACTTGAGCAAAACACTTGTGCGTGTGTGCATTTGAGCAAAACACTTGTGCGTGTGTGCATTTGAGCAAAACACGTGCATTTGAGCAAAATACTTGTGCGTGTGTGCATTTGAGCAAAACACTTGTGCATTTGAGCAAAACACTTGTGCGTGTGTGCATTTGAGCAAAACACTTGTGCGTGTGTGGATTTGAGCAAAACACTTGTGCGTGTGTGGATTTGCGCAAAACATTGTGCGTGTGTGCATTTGAGCAAAACACTTGTGCATTTGAGCAAAACACTTGTGCGTGTGTGGACTTGAGCAAAACACTTGTGCGTGTGTGCATTTGAGCAAAACACTTGTGCGTGTGTGCATTTGAGCAAAACACGTGCATTTGAGCAAAATACTTGTGCGTGTGTGCATTTGAGCAAAACACTTGTGCATTTGAGCAAAACACTTGTGCGTGTGTGCATTTGAGCAAAACACTTGTGCGTGTGTGGATGTGAGCAAAACACTTGTACGTGTGTGCATTTGAGCAAAACACTTGTGCATTTGATCAAAACACTTGTGCGTGTGTGCATTTGAGCAAAACACTTGTACGTGTGTGCATTGGAGCAAAACACTTGTGCATTTGAGCAAAACACTTGTGCGTGTGTGCATTTGAGCAAAACACTTGTGCATTTGAGCAAAACACTTGTGCGTGTGCATTTGAGCAAAACACTTGTGCGTGTGTGCATTTGAGCAAAACACTTGTGCATTTGAGCAAAACACTTGTGCGTGTGTGCATTTGAGCAAAACACTTGTGCGTGTGTGCATTTGAGCAAAACACTTGTGCATTTGAGCAATACACTTGTGCGTGTGTGCATTTGAGCAAAACACTTGTGCGTGTGTGCATTTGAGCAAAACACTTGTGCATTTGAGCAAAACACTTGTGCATTTGAGCAAAACACTTGTGCGTGTGCATTTGAGCAAAACACTTGTGCGTGTGTGCATTTGAGCAAAACACTTGTGCATTTGAGCAAAACACTTGTGCGTGTGTGCATTTGAGCAAAACACTTGTGCGTGTGTGCATTTGAGCAAAACACTTGTGCATTTGAGCAATACACTTGTGCGTGTGTGCATTTGAGCAAAACACTTGTGCGTGTGTGCATTTGAGCAAAACACTTGTGCATTTGAGCAAAACACTTGTGCGTGTGTGCATTTGAGCAAAACACTTGTGCGTGTGTGCATTTGAGCAAAACACTTGTGCATTTGAGCAAAACACTTGTGCGTGTCTGCATTTGAGCAAAACACTTGTGCATTTGAGGAAAACACTTGTGCGTGTGTGCATTGGAGCAAAACAGTTGTGCATTTGAGGAAAACACTTGTGCGTGTGTGCATTGGAGCAAAACACTTGTGCGTGTGTGCATTGGAGCAAAACACTTGTGCGTGTGTGCATTGGAGCAAACCACTCGTGCGTGTGTGGATTAGTGCCCCACCAGGGCCTCTTCTCCCGCCCGGGTCGCGCGGTCCTCCGTTTCGTCCCGGCTTTCCGGGCAGGGCGCCCTCTGCAGATGGACGCGGGCCAGCACGGCGGCCCCGTCCCGCTTCGCCCCGCCTCCTCCCCGCCTCCCGCTCCTCCTCCTCCTGCTCCCGCGCCGTGCGCAGCCTCCCCGCGCTCGCCCCTCGCCTGCGGGTTGCCGTGCAAGTTGGCTCGTGGCGCCATGGAGGCCGCCGAGCCCCGCGCTGGGCCCGCGGCGGAGGCCGCCGAGGCGCGCGCGGCCGATGGCGCGCGGGTGCTGGAGGTGCTGCTGCGCGGCGGCGCGCCCTGGGGCTTCACCCTCAAGGGCGGGCGCGAGCACGGCGAGCCGCTGGTCATCACCAAGGTAGTGCACCCGGGGCGAGCGCGCTTCCTCCCAGGCCGGGGTTGGGCGCAGGCGCGGTGGCACCGGCGTCTTTGGGGCGCGCGTCTGGCGGGGTCCCCCCCCCCCCCGTGGGGATCGCGGGGGGGGGGGGAATGGGGGACCCGGTTGCGGCCCGTTCCCTGCGTGCGTGTGCGCCCCCACACGGGGAGGCACTTTGCAGGGAAACTTTCCAACGGGGTGAGGACGTGAGCATGCGTGTGTCCATGACAGGAAAGTCCGTGTGCATGTGAGTGCGTGTGCAAGCGCGCGCGTGTGTGTCCGTGGATCTCGGGGTGGAGGGGGTGCATGGCTTTGCAACTTGCAAGGATCGTGTGTCAGGAGCAAAGCGATCTAGAACTGTGCGTGTGCAAGCGCGCGCATGGATGTGTCCGTGCATCTCGGGGTGGAGGGGGGGCATGGCTTTGCAACTTGCAAGGATCGTGTGTCAGGAGCAAAGCGATCTAGAACTGTGCGTGTGCAAGCGCGCGCGTGTGTGTCCGTGCATCTCGGGGTGGAGGGGGGGCATGGCTTTGCAACTTGCAAGGATCGTGTGTCAGGAGCAAAGCGATCTAGAACTGTGCGTGTGCAAGCGCGCGCGTGTGTGTCCGTGGATCTCGGGGTGGAGGGGGTGCATGGCTTTGCAACTTGCAAGGATCGTGTGTCAGGAGCAAAGCGATCTTGAACGACACGGGCGTGCACCTGTGCAAGGCGCACAGCCACGAACTCGGGTCTCGGGGGTGCTTGGGGTGGAAAAGGGGGTGATCCGTGTCTGGGGGAAGAGTGGAGCGCGTCCCCCCCCTCCTGCGCCCCCCGTCCTCAGACCAAAGGTCGCTGGACAGGTAAATATTGCGGACGAGGGGAAGCTTTGGAAGAAGGTGGCGTGCTGGGTGGAGCGGCCTGCCTCACTCGCCACCGCAGGAAGAAAGGAAAGGAAGCCTCACGCACCCCACAAGGAAGGTTTCGGGGGAGGTAGCATAGCTTTATTGTTCAAGCAGCCAATGAGACTACCTATTTCTCCAATTGGCTCTTCCTTTGCCTGCCTGTCTGTCTGCCTGCCTGTCTGTCTGTCTGCCTGCCTGCCTGCCTGTCTGTCTGTCTGCCTGCCTGGCCTGTCTGTCTGCCTGCCTGCCTGCCTGTCTGCCTGCCTGCCTGCCTGCCTGCCTGCCTGCCTGTCTGTCTGTCTGTCTGCCTGCCTGCCTGCCTGTCTGTCTGTCTGTTTCTGTCTTGGTACCGGGGCTCTAGATAAGTGCTCTGTTACTCAGCTTACCCCTAGCTCCTCTCACTTTTATGTTTACAAAACCAGAGACTTAGAGGGGAGACGTTGTTGTTGTTGTGCACTGGATTTATGTTGAACTCAGGAAAGAGGTGGGCATAGTTATAAATAAATCAGTTTGTACTCCTGTATCAAGCGGATTCTTTGAAAAGACAGTGGGCAGTTGTGTACTGCATACTTCTTTCAAAGTGCACTAGCTTGTGTTTTTCCTTTCTTTGTGGTGCTGTGGATCAAACCCAGGCCTGGCACATTCTAGGCAATTCCGTGGTCCTACCACTGAGCCCCATCGCTGGCCTGGGCTTTCCAATGAAGGTTGTAGAAGGCATTTCTGATGGCAGCGGTTAAAAAGGTATAAAAAAATTCATGCATTTCTTTCTTTTTTTTTTTTTTTTGAGATAAGTTCTAGGTATGAAACCCAGGCAGTCTTGGAACTCTCAGCCTTCCATATGTCAGGATTATAAGCATACACTCCCATACCTTGTGTCATCAATTTTAAAAGTCCAAACATGAAAAACTTGATTCTGTACATCTTCCCCAAACACAGCTTAATAGCAAGTGGAATAATTGTGGAACATTATTGATCATAGAGTCTTGCTTTTTGGTTTTGCACAGTAGAAACAGAACTTTGCCTGTTGTTTTTTACCAGACTTGAAAGAGGCTTAGCTGAGCTCTTTTGTATAAGTTATCCTGGTTCTAAAAAGTCTGCATTCTTAGCGGCCTCCTACTTCTCTTTGCTTTCTAGAAACTGAAGGAGGTGCTGAGCAAACCAGTAATACTAAGCTATACCATTGAGCTGTGTTCCCAGTTTTACTCTGTTTTTATATGTGTTCCAATGGGACTAGAAAAGTCTTGCTGGGTGCCAGCGGCTCACTCCTGTAATCCTAGGCTTAGATCTGAGGATCTGGGCAGGAAAAGTTTGTGAGACTCTTTAATTATTTCAGCAAAAAGCTGAACGAGGAGCTGTGGCTCAAGTGGTAGTACACTAGCCTTGAGAAAAGAAGCTTGGGGAAAGCATCCAGGCCCTGAGTTCAAGCCCTAGGATTGGTGCTTGCGCACACAAGCAGAAAAAAAAAGTGGTTTTGATGCTTCAGGGCATTGGAAATTCAGAACTGCTTGGGGCTTTTGTTTTGTATTTCTATGCATACTTAGGCTCACACACACATGCTATTGCACGGATGCTATTGCACATGTGTGTTTTTAACCACAGGTCTCACTTCATAATACCAGCAACATTCTTCATGTTTTACATACCTGTCTTTTCTGCTATATTGAGATCATCAATGTTACTTGCAAGATGGGAGAGAGGAGGGGAAAATTAACTGTTGCAACATCATTTCAAAGTGGCTGGAGGCATGGCTCAGTGGTAGAAGCCTTCCTGGCTAGCATACCTGAGTTCAAGCCCCAGTACTACCCTTCTACACCCCAAAGGACACTTTTAAAATGATAACTATGAAGCGTATGTTTGTGATCTCTTAAAAAGTACAAGGAGAAATCTAGGCGCAGCTGGCTCACGCCTGTACTCCAAGCTACTCAGGAAGCTGAGATCTGGGAGTCATAGATAGCTTGAAGCCAGCCTGGGCAGAAAAGTCTGGGACTCTTATCTCCAATTAACCAGCGAAAGCTGGAAGTGAAGGTGTGGCTCAAGTAGTATTGGGCCAGGCTTAAGTAGCAAAGCCAAGGGAGAATTTAAGACCCTGGGTTCAAGCCCTAGTGTCAGCATAAGAAAAAGGGGACGAGGTCATGGGAGAGTAGATGTTATGGTAGATGCTGGGGAAACTTTTCTCACTAGAAATAAAATTTATCCGAGTTTTGAATTTTTCTTTTTCCAGTAGCATCTGGGGATAATTAAATACCAGTTCTTGTCATCTTTTCTTTTGTACTCAAGTCTTTGCAATTAAATAGTTATATACACAATTAAGATTCTTTATTATCCAATTTGCTCTTTACCTGACTTGGGTTTGGGGGTAACTTGATCAAAAGTAGGATCACACATTGTCTTGATGGTAGTGTGGGTATCACTTGAATCATTTGGATGTCATTTGAAAGTCTCATAGGAGTCATGTCAAAATGGGGCTGGGGACTGGCGTTGGAGGTCAGTGGTAGAGAGTTTGCCTGGCATGCATGGATTCTGGCTCCAACACTACAAACAGGAAGAGATGTCAAAAACCAAGCTGACTGTGTTCTCAGGTACAGAATTTTCCTGTGCTCATTTTGTAGATGAAACAGCTGTTGGCCAAACGAGGTGAAATTGTGTATACCTTGTCACCACAGGCCTGGCAAGTCCTGGGAAGTCCTCTGGAAATTAGATGGTGATCCCACATAGCCATAATCAATATTGTGGTAACATCTGGGAGGGACAGGCTTGCGGCACTGATGTTCTTAACTGTCTCAGCTGAATCACCTCAGCTCCCGTAGGATAGCTGCTGGGTGCCTTCTAGACCCACGCAACAGCTTCTCTGCAAACTGAAGGCCATTGGCAGCGGTCTCCAGGAGTGATAACCACAATGGTGCCCAGACATTGCAAATCATTTTGCTAGGTTAAAAGTAGCTTGCTGCCTTTTGCTTTTAAAAGACTTCTCGTGGCTTAATTCTCCTTTTTCAAGACTTTGGGTGGTTTGTTGAGAAGCCTTTGCCATTTCCAGTGTTTGTGTGAAGCTCTGTTTTCTTCTCTAGCTTGCCCCTGAGAAACAGCTTTATTTACGTAGTAAAACGCAAACAAATACTCGCTTCATCTGTGTGTGTGTGTGTTTTTTTTTTTTTTTTGTAGCCAGAGAAAGGAAAAAGAAACAGGGAGTCTCTCATGCTGTGTTTTATAAGATTACAGAGTGTAAAGTCTGACTTTTGTCTCTGATGTGAAGTAAAAGGACACTTAGCATCCTGGAGAGAAACATTCAGGAAATTTGGGGACCTCCGTTGAAGTCTAGCAAGGCCTCTGCTCAGATGGCCACAGGGTTCCAAACTGGTTACATTGCCACTGTACTTGTAGCTTCAGATCTTGTTGCCTTCAGCATACAAATCCAAAGCTAAAAGAACAAAACAAAACAAAACAACAAACTCCACACCCAAAACCTGTTGTCCTGTGCTGCTCTGGAAGAAAGAACAGGAATGCTTTTTCAGATTCCGGGTCTGCAGGACTTGTCAGCATTTTGGAAAGTGCATTGGGATGTGGGCGCTCCCAGGGTCTGTGAGAGTGCGGATGAGGATGTCTGTGGTCCTGCTGAATTTTTTTTTTCTTCTTCTTCTTTTCTTTTTTCTTTTTTGTTGATCCTGGGGTTGGAACTCAGGGGCTAGTGCTGTCCTTGAGCCAGAATTTAAACTTGGTTTTTTAAGCACTCAGTATTCAATAGTATGGTTTCCACTATTTAATTTATTTCCTCCTGCAGTGACATCAGACCTTCTTTATTAGCTCTGTCCTGGGCCTGCTTCATCTTTTAGTAGCTTGAAAGGTCAGTTCAACAGTTCAGCTTTCCGGGAGGAGCTTTCAGGGTGTCGCACTGCTGTAGCAATCTTTTATTTAAGTAGTTGAGATGATAATGAATTTGTTCTTTATTTTTATTGGTGCCACCTAAAGTAGTTATCATTGGTTCCATCTTAACTTGCAAATGTTCCTTGGCATCCTTTGGAAGACATTGCCAGGGTTTTCTTTTGTGGGATGTTATTTTTATCCATCTTAGTACATCTCACTTGTCTTTCAGGAAGGAGAGGTGCT